ATATATATATATATATATATATATTAGGGGTGTGACGGTACACAAATATGACAGTTCGGTACGTACCTCGGTTTTAACGTCACGGTTCGGTATGATTTCGGTACAGCAGGGGGAAAACTTTTTTTTTTTTAATGGTTTACTGAACAAGTTGCTCTTTCTTTAAATACATTCAGTTATAGTTTACATTTTCTTAGTGATACAAATCTACCTCAGCTTATGCTTAAAACTATAGGGAGCCCTTTTACAATTAGGCCTAACAACTTAACCCAAACTTAAATTTAATTGCTATTTATTTTTAAATAGATGATCAACACTCAACTTAAAAAAAATAAAATAAAAAAAATTGTATGCAAACATGTAAATTGCACATAATGCAGTTTTTAAATTAACTTATAAATAATACAATTTCTAAGCTATTTGTTAAAATATATTCAATTACACAATGGCTGTCATAGCATGCTTCATAACAGATTAATTTAAACATACTGTACATTAAGTAATTTAGACTAACAGGTTTAGTAAAACATGAGTATATGGTGTAATATTTCGCAAAATGCTCCTCTCTAGACTTAATTTCTCTAGATGTCTTTCCGCGGTTGAAACACTGATTGAGCAATTACATGAGGCATGAGATGTTCAGTCATGTTTATTCGCGTTAAACCTAGTAGGACAGAGAAAGGAATGATCGCGATCACTCGCGCTCCGCTCTGCACAAATCTGCGGGGCGTCACGGCTCAGACACGGGAACCGGATCTGATCGCGGCTGCTCTAGTCAGTGCTTGTGTTGGGATTATACCAGCAAGTTTCTGAACCGTCCCAGAAGCGGCTCTCTAAGGCGTTTATACAGCGATCTGTCATGCCACATAAAAGACGGTCAAAACGCCATTTATTATTTGAATTTCCTGAGAAGAAGAAAAAAAAAACTGTATTCGTGCGGTACACATGCGTACCGAAACGGTTCGGTACGAATACGTGTACCGTTACACCCCTAGTAACTGGTAATGTAACTAATTACTAGTTACTTTTGAAATAAAGTAATCAGAACAGTAACGTGATTACTTTTAAAAGGAGTAATCAGCAATCAGTAATTTTATTACATTTTCAGAGTAACTTGCCCAACACTGCCTGTGGATGAGTATCCACAACAAGGACTGGTGGGAGGTTGTCCTGCTCCACTTCACAGTTGCTGAGTGAAAGGAGAGTTTTATAATGACAGTACACGCATTTATACAACACTTTATTCAAAAGAAAGAACCGCTCGTTATGCGCGTCATACGTCATTCGGCAGATTTTTCCGTTTCGGAGTTCAATCCGATCGAGTGTTAACATGCACTCTCAATAGTATTAGAAAAGGAATAAACCACCCCCTTCAATCCGATTGAAATTTCATTCCGATCGAGCTCAGTCGGATCGATTAAGGTGTTTACATGATGGCTTTTCAGTCCGATTGAGCCGTCAATCCGATTACAAACGGATTATTTGGTTGCATGTAAACGTAGCCAGTGTGACGTAAGGAAGCTTCGTTTGCTAAAATCACGTGACCTGGCTGGTTTGATACGCGCTCCGAAACACTGATTCGAAACAAAAGATTCGCAAATGTTTCGAAGCTTCGTGAAGCAGTGTTTCGAATGCGCCCATCACTAAATATATTGTGTGCTCCCTAGACATTTACATTTAGAGAACACGTTGACATACTGGGTTCCCTTCAGTTTATTATTTTATTATTTATTTATACTTGGTCTTAAAAAGGTCTTAAGGTTACCCTCAGAAAACCTGAAGAAACCCTGCAAACACAAAGTTAAAAAAAAAAAATACACAGTTAGGTCCATATATATTTGGACACTGACACAATTTATATAATTTGGCTCTGTATGCCACCAGATTACAATTAATATGAAACAATCAAGATGAAATTGTAGTGCAGACTTTAAGCTTTAATGCAAGGGGTTGAACAAAAATATAACATAAATGCTTAGGAATTACAACCATTTTTATACACCGTCCCCCCATTTTCAGGGGCTCAAATGTAATAGGACAAATAAATATAATCATAAATACAATGTTAATTTTTAATATTTTGTTGAGAATCCTTTGCAGGCAATGACTGCCGTAAGTCTGGAACTCATGGACATCACCAAAGATTAGGTTTCCTCTTTTTTTTTGATGCTTTGCCAGGCCTTTACTGCAGCTGACTTCAGTTATTGTCTGTTTGTGGGTCTTTCTGCCTTTTGTTTTGTTTATGAAGTGCTGTCCAATCAACTTTGCTGCATTTGGCTGAATCTTTCCTCCCCCATGTGCTCCAGTTTGATTATTATGCCCATATTTGGTTTTTCCTGTTCCTGTCCCTATTTAGTTCTATCAGTTCCAGCTGTGTTTAATTAATTATCTTATCTGCCTCTTTTTACTTAAGCCCTGTGTGTCCCTGTTTCTAGCGTCCGCTGTTAAATGTAATTTCGTGTTCTCAGTGTTTCCAGCTTTGTTTTCATTAAAGACTTTGGAATTTGCTTTACTCCTCGCTCCTTCGCTACCTATGTGCAAGTGCACCTGGAGCAAAAGCTGCTTTAAAGGATGGTCACACCAAATGTTTATTTAATTTAGTTAATAGAAGTTAATTGATAAAGAAAATCTATTTATGACATTATTTTTGACAGCATCCTCATTTTACAGCATTTTTACACAAGTGCTTAAAACTTAACAATACTGAAGCTTTGCAGGTAGGTTTCTTCAAGAATCTTGGAAACGTTGCCAGTTCTTTTAGTCTGTGCCACTTTGTTCGGTTTCTTCATGTCATTCCAGATAGACTGGATGATGATGAGATCAGATCTCTGTGTGGAGCACTGGCTGTTGTCAGACTCCTTGTGCAAATAAAAATCTCAATGGATTATTACAATTAATGGCAAAATCATTGTTGGAAAATGTAATCTGATATTTCCTACTGACACACTACAACAAAATATAGAAATAACTGACTTAAAACCTGACTTAAAAATTTGTGAGCTTGTGAAAATACTGCAGTTATAATAATTTTGGCCACCACATACCTTGTTTTTTTTTTTTTTTTGGACTGTACCACAGACATACCATGAAAATACCATGGCACATGACTGTGGTAAGCTTATGTTAATGTCACATTAGTCTGTTTTTCCTGAAAAGTAGTTGAGAAAATTCAAGATGTTTTGTCTCTGCACAGAGCTGTCACTCGTGGGGTGAAACATGGTGATGGTTAAAGGAGTTGTCCTCTCTCTGATTAATCCCATATAGGTTTGAGTTTATTAACCTGCTAGCAAAGCACTTCAGTTTACATTCACTTCAGTGTTCATTCACTAACTTTAAATCATGCAGTCTCAAATGGTAATGCACAACATTATGAATAATTTATTTCAGGGGAGTCCAAATCTGTTCCTGAAGGGCCAATGTCCTGCAGAGGTTAGCTCCAACCCTAATTAAACACACCTGAACCAGATCATCAAGGTGTTCAGGATTACCAGGCTGTGTCCGAAATCACCCCTTATACTTTTAAATAGGGCACTAGTTGAGGAGACAGCAATGTGTAATGGGGTCTGAAACCATAGTGGACATTATCAAGTGCACTCATTCAATCCTGCAATGGACCACAATAATGACTATACAATCAATGTTAACCATAGCACCCATAATGCACTGTGATGGTCATGCTGAATGAGTTCCCACGTCTCGCCAGAAGATGGCGCCTACAGCTGAATCATTCCTCCATCCATCCATTTTCCAACCTGCTTGTCCAGTGTGGGTACAGCGTAATGTCATACAGGTATAGATTTCTTTTTAATTGATTTTATAGTTTAATTAAGGTTTATACATGCTATTTTTCATGACAGAGTTCAAGATAAATATTTTCATTACTAGTGGAGCTACTAGTTTGCTAGGTTTAATAATAATAATATTATTATTAAACAGCAAGCACAAACTATGCAAAAGCAGCAGCCCTTCCGGCACACTCGGTGTCTGAATTCGCTCACTTGTGTTTTCATTCACTCTTTCAACTGGACTATATTAGTGGAAATAGTGAATAGGGGTATAGGATGCGACTAGAAACTTCCAGGCTAGTGTGTTGGCGCTGGTCGGAGTTATACTTGGCAGGATGCTGGCCCTCCCGGAGCAGGATTGAACAATCATGATTTATTTAAAATGGTGACATTCCTTCATATATGTTTATTTTTCAAAAACACTGATGCATTTTTAATAATCTAGTAGTGTTATTTTTTCTCTCCGCAATTGTCAAAAATATGTTTTAATTAAAATGTTTTCATTATCTTTGTGACTTGCACATCTCAGTAGTTGAGTAAATGTTTTACTGATCTGTCATGTACTCGAAAGGGAAAAACAAGAAATGCCCATTCCTGATTTCTTATGTAACTGGAGCTCTCTGACATTCCAGCTGTGACACCGATGCAGTTGGAGAATGGCTGGCAAATCAAGTGCATGCAAAGTTCGGAATGTGGATATCAACCCATGCATTGAGGTCAGGCAATGGAGTGTGTGACTAAATAACATGTTTCATTTAATGTAAACTATATATGTTTTTTTTTTTTGTCTAAATATATTTAAAATTGATGTGAAATTGTGCTCGGTGCCGCATAAGTGAAGAGGTAGCAATTGTAGTATTGTAATTGTAATAAGTTTTAGTTTGATTAACTACATTGCCAGTTATATCATAACATGATGTAAAATGAGATTTGTATTTTAAAACTTTATTTTCTCTGTTTGTGTTGGCATAGGAGAGTGATGGTTCTCAAAAATGTTTGGATGCATACAACTATGATAAGAGCATGTGTTCTGCATACTTCATGAGGTATAAAAACTGCAGGAAGTACTGGGTAAGTATACAGACACCAGGACTCATGAGAATAAAAATAAAAAAAACTTACAAATTTACTAATCTGATATTTCAGAACAATATTCTGTAGAGAAATGTACCACTTTGAAGAAAAAAAGTGCATACAAAATTAGCCTTGCATGGGACTCCAAAATGTAGGATTCTTCTAAGGATAAAATGGTTTAATTATGTTTGTGAATCCCCGGGTTTACCATAGATTTCTGTGTAAACTTCTGAGTAAGGATAGTCAAATCTAGCCTAAACCATGAAGTACTGTGCCCAGCATAACATAATCATAATGCTAGGTGACTTTAACATGCATGTTGATTCTGATTGTAATACTGCAAAATACTTTTTGGCTGTTTTGGATTATTTTGATTTATCACAGCATATTGATTGTTCTCACGCATTCACAATTTCATACTCTTGATTTGCTTTGCACTGTTTGTATTTACAATGTTGGTGCTCAGGGTCATGAATTGGGCATCTCTGATCATAAACTAATTGTCTTTGGTTTTCCTCTCCCCTTGTAAAATTAAAACTACTATATCTTACTGTAACCTGAAATCTGTGACCACTGACAATTTTTCTGTTGCTATTGCTGCCTCCCCTCTCTCATCCGCATTCAACCTCCTGAGCCCTGATGAGATATTCTCAACCTATAATAAAACTGTTTGTAATGTTTTGGATGACCTTGCTCCACTAAAAACTAGAACTGTCCCTTCCGCTCACTCCTCTCCTTGGTTCATCCCTGAACTTAGAGTAATGAAAGCTGAATGTAGGTGTCTTGAACTTTATAAAAAAATCCTCCCTTGTAGTGCATGCTATTGCTTTTTCAGATTCAGTAGTTTAATATAAAGAAGCACTTAACACTGCATGCTCTACTTATCTCTCTCTACTGTCATTAATAAAGCTAAGTGCAAACCTAAAGCTCTTTTCTCCGAGATCAACAAACGTATTAAACCATCGTCCATAGCTATTAATGGCTCTGTTGATCTTTGTGAAAGCTTGCAGTCCTTTTTCCTACGTGAAATTGATAACATTTACCAAGACTTTTCTCCATCTGTCTCTCCCCATCTTTCTCCATGTCTGATAGGTCACCCACTCAACACTTTCTTACCCACAAATATATCTGCGGTTGAACAACTGATTATCAAATCTAACTCTGCCTCCTGCACACTTGATCCTATTCAAACATACTTACTCAAAACCCTTTTGCCTTCACTCATCCAACCTATTACTCTTATAATTAATTTTATAAACTGATCCCTTGCCACTGGTTATGTTCCACAAGACCTAAACGCAGCTGCCATCACCCCAATTCTTAAGATACCTGGTCTTGATAACACAGATCTGAACAATTTTAGACCAATATCAAACCTCCCATTTGTTGCTAAAATACTTGAGAAGGTAGTTGCGGCACAACTGCAGTCTCATTTAGAGAAACATTTATGAGACATGTTTCAATCTGGTTTCTGTCCCTCTCACAGCACAGAAACAGCACTTTTAAAAGTGGTTAATGATCTCCTTCTGGTTTCTGATTCAGGTGGCCACAGTATCCTGGTTCTCCTTGATCTGAGTGCAGCCTTTGATACTGTTTGCCACTCTGTACTTCTTTCTCGACTATCTGCTATAGCAGGGTTCCTCAAATCTTGCCCTGGAGGGCCAATGCGCTGCAGAGTTTAGCTCCAACCCTGATCAAACTCACCTACCTGTGATTTTCTAATGATCCTGAAGACATTGATTAGCTTGCTCAGGTGTGTTTGATTAGGGATAGAACTAAACTCTGCAGGAAAGTGGATCTCGTGGGCCAGATGTGAGGATCCCTGTGCTATAGGTATCACTGGTGCTGCTCTTCAGTGGCTAACTTCATATCTATCGGATAGACAGCAATTCGTTAGGATAGATAAGAATAGATATCGCATTGTCACTATTTTCCGTGGTGTCCCCCAAGGTTCTGTACACTTGGTCCACGTTTATTTCTCATTTACGTGCTGCCACTGGGTCTGATCATCAGACGTCATGGTCTCAATTTTCATAGTTACGCTGATGATATTCAAATATATTTTACGGTTCAAACCAACTCCGTTTGTTTCCTGTCTTCAAGAACTTAAAACCTGGATGTCAGATAACTTTTTACAACTAAATGCAGACAAAACTGAAATCCTGCTGGTTGGCCCTAAATCACAGAGCTCCTCCCAGCGTGACATCTTCATAGATATCGATGGTGTCCAGATTAGGCCCTCAAAAACTTTGAAATATTTGGGAGTGTTGTTTGAGTCTGCGTTATGTTTTGATTCACACATTGGTCAGATTAGATTATTAAATCATGCTTTTACCAATTGCGGAATATTGTTTGTATACTTTTATCCATGCTTTTATAACCTCCAGATTGGATTACTGTAACTCCTTATATAGCGGCTTACTAAAGTTATTAATCGCCTCCAAATGGTACAAAACTCTGCTGCTTGAGCCCTTACATTTAACAAAAAATCTGCACATATCACTCCCATCCTTCACCAACTTCACTGGCTTCCTGTGGCCAAACGTATTCAGTTCAAACTCTTAGTTTTAGTTTATAAGGCCTGTCACAGCCTCACACCTCAATACTTAGCTGAGTTAGTGCAACCATACATTCCTACACAGACTCTCAGATAGCAATGATAACTTGCTTGATGTGCCCAAGTATAAACTCTATACGGTGGGTGGTAGGGCTTTCTGTATTATAGGCCCTAAGCTGTGGTATAAGCTGCCCCATAATATTCGTGCTGCCTCCTCTCTCCAGACCTTTAAGTCTCAACTTAAAACTCATCTATTCACTTTTTTCTCTAAATAACTCGTGTACCTCTCTGCTTCTCAATTTCTCAACTTCTGTCTGTATGACACATGACCACCTTCTTGACATAATTGATCATATGATTGCATGACCTCTTGTTATTTATCTGTAGTTCTTTGTTGTCAACACTTGCTTGTCTGAATGTCCCCTCTGATTGTCTGGTGTATTTTGTTTGCCAATTGCTTACATTATTTTGTAAAGCATCCTTGGGTTCTTGTAAGGCACTATAAAAATAAAACATTATTATTATTACTCACCTGACAAGAGGTTAAAGTTCTTCAAAAAAGTTCGTTTTTTTTTTTTTTTAGGCTGTTTGTAGTGATAAGTTTCACAGAAGGCAATTGTAACAATTAAATAAATTAATAATAATAATAATAAACGCTTATTTTATTGGTTGCAATCAAAACAGTTAATGCACTTATAATGCAACCAACTGCAATGCACTATATAAGGATAGCACAACTGGTGAACAATTGAGAAATTTTGGACACAGCAGCAGAGTCAACAACAAGAGCAGCGTTTTCATATTGAGCGATATGAAAAATATATCATAATAATGATTTTGGCCATACCATCCAGCCCTACCCCGATCCCCATCTGATCTCCAGCCTACTGAAACCTAGTCCCAATCCAATACTTGTATTTTTCCTAGTGTTAGGTGCACACTTTACGTACATTTAATGGTATTGAAATCAATCCAGCTTTTAATACTGACAATTGAATAATCTGCATTTCATTAATAAAAATCATCTTATAGTTATGTAACGTAAACAAACTTCATATAAAATATTTTCATTTGGCTTTTACCAACTAAGAACCATGGCTAACTACAAGACTAAACTAAACAATGTCTTTAGAAATGGCTCTTAAATGTTCCCTGAACAGTATTGTAGATTTATGACACATACTTTGATCCACTTTACCAAAAGTGAAAGACCACAGTATACACTGTAAATCAAACAGATGTCTACCAAACTCTTTTGTTATTTTGAGGAGTATGGGCTCCCCTAGCTGAGTTTGGGTCATCCCCATTTTTTTCCTCTTACCACAGTCACTTTGGCTTCACTGGCGTCTTGTTGATATAAACATTTTCTGTAATGCTGCTCTAAAATGCTGTCTTGTGAAAAGTACTAAAGAACAGAACCCCCCGCCCTGTATTTCACATTCTCAGCATGGTGTGATGCTGCAGCGTAGGCGTGATGGAGTAAAGCCTGATATGCCAACCGCTGAGGAGCGAGAGCAGGTCATCACAGCCCTTGGAGGGAAGCCCTACTAACTGCACAGTAGCAGTTAGAACATAAGTGTGTTTGGACTCAATAAAATAAATTTCTTGCAGAGGACACACACTACGAATCTATCCTTCTATTTATGGAAATGTATTTCAGTCCTGTGGGGAAAGAGATTAAATGTGTACTTGCATAATTTCAGCAATTATGTAGTTGTGTAACAACTAATGCTATGTTTGTATGTACCATACTGTCAATGTACCATACTGCCTAATTTAATGTATTCCGTTATTAAAAATAGAACACATTTTTAATATGTGTGGGTGTTGTGTCATATGTTTTATTTGTATAGCGCTTTTCACAATACACATTGTATCAAAGCAGTTTTACAGAAATGCATAATGTTAATGACTAAATGTTCACATTTAGCAGTTGAGAGATGGGTGATGGGGATGTTTACATATGGTGAGGATATAAACAGTTAAGCAGTAAAGATTTGTTTTATAGTGTGTGTGTGTGTGTGTACCTGTTTTTCTATTCTGGTGGGGACTTAAACCTGAATACACAGACTCATGGGGACTTATGTAAACCTGAATACACACAGACTCATGGGGACTTATGTGATGGGTCATGGGTAAACAAGCTAATAAATCACATAGAATTAAGTTTTTTGAAAATCTAAAAATGCAGAAAGTTTCCTGTGAGGGGTAGGTTTAGGGGTAGGGTTGGTGTAGGGCAATAGAATATACGGTCTGTACAGTAGAAAAACCATTACGCCTAGAAGATTGAAAATCTTCATGTTTTTTCATTGAAGATGAAAAAACATGTTTTCCCTCAACATTTAAACAGGCTCGTATAACCCCACTTCTTATGCTGATGACACTCAACTCTACCTCTCATTCCATCCTGATGATCCGACGATAGCTGCTCGCATCTCAGCATGTCTAACAGACATTTCTTGTTGGATGACGGACCAT